ATTGTAGAGATGAGGTCTCGTCAAGTTGCCCAGGCGGGTCTCGAACCCGTGGGCTCAGGCAGTCCACTCACCTCAGCCTCCCAAAGTGTGGGATTACAGGCTGGGCCACTGAGCCCAGTTTATTTTTTATATCTTAAGGTCATATATTTTATTCTTGAACCAGGATCTCTTCCTCTCTCTCTCCCTCCCTCTCTCCTTCCCTCTTCATCCTTCTTTTCTCTCTTCTCTTTCCCTCTCTCCCTCCCTCTCTCTTTCTTTTTCTCTGTGAACAAAAGGAGAAAATAAAAAGGGGGTTGTCCTGCATACACAAATGCTCTCTCTCCTTGCTTCCTGGTTATGCAACTTAAATATGAGGAGCTGGTTGGGAAGTGGAGATTCTGTTTCTTCTCAAGTTCCCAGCTGTTTTGGGCACTGCTGATGTTTATAATCTTCTCTCCCAGATGTTTCATCTTATGAAATGTGATTCATAAGGGTGGTACCCATATCTTTAGATGGGAACAAATCCCCAGGGCAGGACGATTACATAAGTCCGCTTCACTCAAAACCTGAAATACTTGAACACAACATTTTCTAGCGGAAAAAAAACAGTAAGACTTTGCCATACTTAAATTAATCAGAAAGACCAACAATTTCAGACTCTTTTTTTGTGTGGGAGGAATGAGGGAGGGACAGTATTCTTGTTTGGGGAGATTTTGTTTTCATTTGCAGAATGTTTTTAATTTGTATGGGCTTTTGTTTTATACCTTGATTCATATTTGTTAAATTGTGCAAAAAACCACTGACTAGAAGACACTGCTGGAATGCCCTCTCTGTGCACAGCCCTGGGCTTGTGGCTGAGGGAGGCAGGAACTATTACTCCCCTCCTGGGGAGTGATGAAAGAGCTATGAATATTGCGCTGCCATCCTCAAGCCTCTCTGGTAGTAGGAAAGCCAAAGGCAGACTCATGAAAGCTTCCAACTGGATGTCACTTGTATTTCCCCCATGAGGGATGGTGGCACATCCAGGGTCACACAGCCTACAACATCCAGAGTCATGACTGGAATAATCTCTCCTGAGTTCAGGGCTCCACCCAATACCCATGGCCTACATGGGATCAGGGTTCATGGCAGGTCAGAACTAGGGTAAGGCAAGTGAGGCACAAATTTAACAGGGCACCAGAAACCCAAATCATCAAAATTAATGCAAAAAAATCCATGAGGAACAAAATATGAAACTTAAAACAGAAACAGGGTCCTGCCTGCCTTTGCGTTACCCGGCTCACCTGTCACCTCACCTTGGCCTCCGTTGCATGGCCTGCACCTTTGGATAGACCATGGGGAGTCCAGCATGGAAAACACCCCCTTGGCTGGGATGAATATGAACATGAACACAGGAAGGGCGCCCTGAACATGTTGGTTGGGGTTTTGGGAAAGAGGTCTTAGGCGCACGTCCACAGCCCACCCTGAAAAGTGGAAGACAGAGTCTGTGACTCTATCAAGTGGGACTCTGGCTGTGGCAGTGGGCCCACTGAACTTAAGAAGGTACTGCTTTGATCATGAGCCCATCCCCTTTGAGACCACCTGGACAGAGCCCAACATGGGGCCCTTGGAGCCCTAAGGTGGGGTTCAGTGAGGGCTTTGATCATACCCGACACAGGCTGAAGCCTTCCTTCCTCTTTGGATTTTCTTCTTTCTCATCCGTGACTGGTACCTGAAGTGCTATCCTGCACCTGGCTATGCACACCTTGGGAGCACCCCAGGAGGAAATACAGACAAGCCCTGGGACAAATGCAGCCCTGCAGGGTCACAGCAGTCAGGTCACCCAGAGAGACCTGCCATGTTCGGGACTCAGCCCCAGAGGCAGAAAAGAAGCACAGGCTTAGGTACCCTCCCTCCACCCACTCCTCAGAGCCAGTAGCCATGGGCCCACGGGAACTGGGGAGGCTCCTGGGCTGGCAGCTTGGTGCTTCTGAAGGCGTCTTTCAGGGACCATGACAACCCTGGAACAGAACGGATCCCAGGCGAGTGTGGTCTTCTGATGCAGTACTAACACACAGCAACAACAGGCACAATAAGCCTTCTCAAGATGTTGTAGGGTTCACAGAAGGATGAGCGTGGGCCACATGCAAACAGTATGCCGTCTTATGAGAACATGCCTTTATGTAAATTGTCCTTTTGATCCTATCCACAGACCTGGAGGTGGGGTGGAGTGTCCAGGAAGAGTCTGGAAGATTGAGGTTGCTTCTTGCTGCTTTTCCTTCCATCATTCTGAGCGTTCTCCCGTCTGGTCGTCCTCCTTTTCAGGAAGAGTGGTTTGTCTTTTGTTCTGGTTTTTTCTTTTTTGTGTGTGAGTTAGAGTCTCACTCTGTCGCCCAGACTAGAGTGGCAGTGGCACACTCCCAGCCACCGCAGCCTTGACCTGCTGGGCTCTGGTGATCCTTCTGCCTCAGCCTTCCAAGTAGCTGTAACTACAGGTGAGCGCTACCATGCCCAGCTAATTTTTTTGATTTATTATAAAGATGAGGTCTTGCCAAGTTGCCCAGGTGGGTCTCGAACCTCTGGGCGCAGGCAATTCATTCACCTCAGCCTCCCAAAGTATGGGATTATAGGCTGAGTCACTGAGCCACAGGTGCGGCTCTAGAAAGGAATGTAGGCTAGCCAGGCGTGGTGATGTGCGTGTCTGTAGTTCCAGCTACTTGGGAGGCTGAAGTGGAAGGCTCGTCTAGGCCCAGCAGGTTGAGGTTGCGGTGGCCGTGAGCATGCCACTGCATTCCAGCTTGGGCAACAAGAATGAAACTCCAACTCAAAAAAAAAAAAAAAAGAAAGAAAGGAGTAGGCTTAGTCTGAATTCATTGTCATTCTTTCTGGCTTCAATGCTCTTGAGGAAGTACTCCTGTGCTCCAGATGCCTAGTGGCTAAGAACGCAGCCATGTGCCCATCAGGATAAGGGTTCTAACCGTACCAACTTGTCAGCTAAATAGTTTTTACAACTTCTTTCATTTTCCAGATCTCCAACTTCCTAATCTGTAAATGGGGAATAAGGGTTTAAAAATGCTATCAGGGGCTGGGCTCAGTGGTTCAGCCTGTAATCCCAGTGCTTTGGGAGGCCGAGGTGAGTGGATTGCCTGAGCCCGTGGGTTTGAGACCCGCCCGGGCAACTTGGCAAGACCTCTTCTCTACAATAAATTTTAAAAAATCGGCCGGGTGTGGTAGCGCGTGCCTGTAGTTCCCGCTACTCGGAAGGCTGAGGCGGAAGGATCGCCAGAGCCCAGTGGGTCCAGGCTGCGGTGGCCGGGAGCATGCCGCTGCACTCCAGTCTGGGCAACAGAGTGAGACTCCAACTCAAAAAAAAAAAAAAAATGCTATCAGGATCATAGATTCTTGCTCTTAAGAGATGTTGTGGAAAGCCCCTTCGCACACACATCATTTTCTAGACCGCTCCCCACCCAGACTGTATTCAGACTCCCTACGTGCCCGCCAACTCAAGGCAGTGCATTCTGCTTGCTTGTTTGGTGGATGTCGAACTCTGTACCAGTTCTCGCTTCTCCTGAGCCAAAGCTATCCTGACTATGAAGCCAACGTTTTCTGCCCTAGCTCTAGCATTAGAACCACACAGAACAAATGGATTACTCTTTCTTCATCTGCAAGCATTAGAAGACCTTAGAACATTCCAGCAAAGACATTGTCTCAGTGCCCCCCTCACCCTCCAGAGTCATGCCTTTCCTGCTGCTTCTGTGTTCCTGTGGTCTTCTCAAAGACTGTGTTGTAGAACTCAGTTAACAACTCCTAATAGAGATTGGCCATGACAGAATGGAGGCTGCTTTGTTTTCATAATCATAAAATGATGGAAGGTGTTCATGATGCATGTCTTTTTTTTTTTTTTGAGTTGGAGTCTTACTCTGTTGCCCAGGCTAGAGTTCAGTGGCACGCTCATGGCCACCACAGCCTCGAACTGCTGGGTTCAGGCGATCCTTCTGCCTCAGCCTTCCAAGTTGCTGGAAATACAGGCATGAGCTACCATGCTCAGCTAATTTTTTCTTTTACTGTAGAGATGAGGTCCCATCAGGCTGGTCTCGAACCCATGTGCTCCGGCAATCCTCTCACCTCAGCCTCCCAAAGTGGATGCATGCCTTTCAACCATCACAATAATGAATCTGCACCCAAATTGTTCAGTTATGATCAGTGAGCAAGTCATGCATGTTGTGCTACATTTTATCTTTCACTTCTACATTTCACATCTACATTTTATCTCATCCCTCTTCCTATCTCCTCCTAGGAGGAAAAAGGGCAAAAATCTTTCCTAGTATAATCTTGTGTAAATAAGAAGATGTTCTAGTATTGTCCTCCCCCCACTTTTTTGCTGCTGTGTGATATCATGACTGCTGCTACCAGAACCACAACTTCCCTGCCCTTCCCCAGGTTCACCTCTACCACCTCTCTGGCTGACAGTATTGTTTTGTGAGGTGATTGCACACTCAGGACATTCAGTAAGTTCCCTGATTACTGTTCCTTCCTTTCTAGGAGAATAGCTTTCTCTTGCTTTAAGAGAGGAAATATCTTGATGTAACTCAAATTAAGAATATGTTGGCTGCCTATCCGGTTTCCACCCTAAACCGGGTATTGCCCCTGGACCGCTATAAATGTCATTTACAATGTGTGATTGAGAACCAAAACATCTGCAGTGCCAAGTTATGATGAAAAAGAGAGTGGAAATACAGCAGTACAGACCTTCACTGTGCCTCTGGCTTTTTTTTTTTTTTTTGAGTTGGATCTCACTCTGTCGCCCAGGCTGGGGTGTAGTGGCACACTCATGTCCACTCCAGTGTCAACCTGCTGGGCTCCAGCAGTCCTTCCACTTCAGCCTTCCAAGTAGCTGGAACGACAGGTGCACACTACCACGCCCGACTAATTTTTTGTTTTTTTTGAGTTGGAGTCTCACTCTGTCGCCCAGACTGGATTGCAGTGGCTGCTCCCGGCCACCGCAGCCTCGACCTGCTGGGCTCCAGCGATCCTTCCGCCTCAGCCTTCCGAGTAGCTGGAATTACAGGTATGCACTACCACGCCTGGCTGATTTTTTGATTTATTGTAGAGATGAGGTCTTGCTGCCCAGGCGGGTCTCGAACCCGCGGGCTCGGGCAATCCACTCACCTCAGCCTCCCAAAGGTGGGGGATTACAGGCTGAGCCACTGAGCCCGGCTCCAACTAATTTTGTATTTATTATAGAGATGAGGTCTTGCCAAGTTCTCTGGGCTGGTCTCAAACCTGCGGGCTCTGGCAATCTACTCGCCTTCACCTCCCAAAGTGCTGGGATTACAGGCTGAGCCACTGAGTCCAGCTGCCTCTGGCTTTTCTAAAGTGTGTCTTGGTCTATAGAGAGCTCAGGTCATGGTTAGACTCAGACAAACATAATCATGCCTAGCCTTTAACATTTTTTTTAAACCAGGGGTAGCATCAGTTTATGAGAAGCTTTAGACTCTATTAGATACCCTGCTGTGATCAGCTCTTTGTTATTTATTTATTTATTTTTTGAGTTGGCATCTCATGCTCAGGGACACCACAGTGTTGAGACTCAGGTGATCCTTCCGCCTTAGACTTCCAAGTAGCCGGAACTATAGTTGCGCACTACCACACCCAGCTAACTTTTTTTATTTATTGTAGAGATGAGGTCTTGCCAAGTTGCCCAGGCTGTTCTCGAACCTGTAGACTCAGGCAATCCCCTCACCTCAGTCTCCCAAGGAGCTGGGATTATAGGTGAGCCACCATGCCTGGCCAGCTCTTTGTTATATAGCTAGATAGCACATTGCTCGGAGGACACTGCAGAGTGAACTTCAGCTCTGACAGTTTATATGGACAAACATATCTGCAACATAAATTAAGCAATTCAGGCCTCCGGTAGTCATCCAGTCACTTGCCCTACAAAAATAACTTGATAGAAGTCCTGTGACATTAAGGTTTCCAAATTCCATGTCCATAGTCTTCCTGATAAAGATGTACTTGTATACCTAAGAATCTTTTTTTAAGAAAATACAAGGCACCCCCTTCGGGGCCCTCCCACTGTGGGAGCTTTTCTTTCCTCTCAAGAAATCCTGCTGGGCACAGTGGCTCATGCCTATAATCCCAGCACTTTGGGAGGCCAAGGTGAGAGGATTGCCTGAGCCCAGCAGGTCGACGCTGTGGTGGCTGTGAACGTTCCACTGCACTTCAGCGTGGGCGACAGTGAGACTGACTAAAAAAAAATTTAAAAAAAGAAAATACAGTTGGGCCTGTCATTGTGGCTCACACCTATAATCCCAACACTTTGGGAGGCCAAGATGACAGAATTGCCTGAGCACAGGGGTTTGAGACCAGCCTGGGCAACGTGACGAGACCTAATCTCTACAATTAATCAAAAAATTTGTCCCCATGTATAGCCTCTAAATGCCATGTTTATCCTCATGTCTGCTTAACAGTGGTGAGAAAATAGAATGCTATTATATAGCCACTATACTTCTCTTTTTTTAAAAGCTATTTATTTACCTTTGATTAAATGATATAGTTTAGGTCCTTATCTCACCTTCCCTAAACTATCTCAAGTCTGGGAAAGAATCACCACTCACAGCAATGTAATGTTTCAAAGTCATGATCATAGTAGACAGACACCTCAATTCAGTACAGTGTTCACAGGAAATGGTTCCAGGACCTTCCACAGAGACCAAAATCCAAGGATTCCTGCTATACAATGGCACAGTGTTTGCAAGTAACCTTTACATCATCTCTAGATCACTTATAATATCTAATACAATGTAAATGCAATATAGTTATTTCACTGTATTGTTTAGGGGATAATGATAATATTGTTAAGAGAAAAAGTCTGCAGGTGGTCAGTACAGATACACCCAACCATTTTTTCCTGAATCTTTTTCATTAGTGATTGATTGAATCCATAGATGTGGAACCCATGGATGTGAAGAGCCAACTGTTTTTTCTTTTCTTTTTTTTTTTTTTTGAGTTGGAGTCTAAATCTGCAACTCAGGCTGGAGTGCAGTGACATGCTCACGGCCACTACAGCTTCGATCTGCTGGACTCAGGCGATCCTTCCACCTCAACCTTCCAAGTAGCTGGAACGACAGGTGCACGCTACAACACCTGGCTAATTTTTTATTTATTGTAGAGACAAGGTCTCGCCAAGTTGCCCAGGTGGGTCTTGAACCCGCGGGCTCAGGCAATCCACTCACCTCAGCCTCCCACAGTGTTGGGATTGTGAGCTGACTGTGTCACCCCAGGCACCTAAAAAATTTTTTTGTTTTTTCCTAGAGAATGCCAATACTTCTGGGAGATCTGGAATGGAGACTTTATTGCACTCTGATAAATATAATTCACTCTCCTGACCCGAAACCATAGGAACCCATTTTCATGTACATTTATAAAACATACCTGTCTTCGTGAGTGAAATCATGTGTACTGGGTATCT